GGCATCTGCAGCCCCCAACATCTGCACCCCCGACATCTGCACCCCCGACATCTGCACCTCCGGCATCTGCACCCCCTAACCCCACCGGCATCAACACTCCCAGCATCTGCACCCCCAACATCTGCACCCCATGACCCCACCGGCATCTACACCCTGACCACCGCCCCAGCATCCTGACCCCCAGCACCTGCACCCCTGGCAATGTCGGCACCTGCAGTCCCCAAGTTCCCCCTGGCATCCAGACCCCCAAACTGCGCCCCCAGGCATCTGCAGCTCCCAAACCCCACCAAAATCTGCACCCCCCACCCCACTGAACTCCCCATCCCTCGGCACCCACATCCCCCTCACTGCAGACCCCAAAATTCCCCCAGCATCTGCACCCCGGACATCTGGATCTGCATCCCCCCAGCACCCACATCCCACCAAATTCCCCGACATCTGCACACCCCCACATTTCCCCTTGTGCCCCTTTTCCATCATCCACACACCCCCACAGCACCCTTGCAATTCCCCTCAAGCTCTTCCCCACTGGGAGAGGGGGTGAATCCCTCCTGGAGTAGCTGCAGTGATGCTGTGACTCAGTTTCCCCAGCTGCACGATGGTGGGAGGGGTTCCCCCCCCCCCCCCCGTGTCCCACCCGCCCGGCCCAAAAGGAAGAGGGGCACCTGTTCCTGGGGGGGCTGATGTCTGCAGGACAGCCCCAATGAGCCTCTTCCCCTTGCACACCTAAACACACGTGGAAATGGCTCTAAAAGCAAATTTAATAAGGAAAAACTCTTCAGTTTGGAGCAGAAATCTCCTTTTAAGTCCAGATCAAGGTGGGGTTTTGTTCTACCTGTAACAAGGCTCATCTGATTCCTCACACCAAGCCCACCTCCTGCTCTGAGCAGCATCTGGGCCCCTTGGATCCAGTTTAGGGTTGAACACACTCCTGTTACTTCAGCTCCTTGCCCATGCCAACTACTGGTCCCTGTTCCACAACACCAGAAATAAAACAGACTTTTCTCCAATTAAGGATTCCCAAACCAAACACATCCGTCCACATCACAACCCAGCATCAAGAGCATGGCACCCACATGCCCACACAGAAAAGGTCCTTGAAAAAAAACCCTTAAATTATTTCCGCCCTTTGTCCAATAAAAAGGATATCTGAGGCTCTAACCCCCCAGAGACCCCTTTAAAACAACCTAAATTAAATCCATCACATTAAATATTATTTTCATAAGTGATAAGGATGTCTCATTCCATTGCTTGAGGTGACTCACAGCCCCTTCAAACAACATTATAGCCAGAAAAAGAAGACAAAGAGGAAAAAAAAAAATTAAAGATATTCTGGCTTTTTGTATTTATGCCTCCTCAGAGGCTTCCAAAAATCTGAGCTGTTCACTTTGCAATTCAGAAGAAGGCTTGGCTGCAAACTCTTGGAAATCCAGCTGTTTCTCTCTCTGTCACCCAGAGAGACCCCAAGTCAGATCCAGGCCGGTTGTTCTGCTGCAGGAAGGTGACAGAGCACAGGTCCCTCTGCTCAGGCCCCATCCACAGATCTGACAATGATCCAAACGTCAAACACTGCAAGGGAGCTCGGGCTGGATGTTCCCACCAGCTCTGTGTGATGCCCCCAAAGGGTCACGCTGTGCCCAGCCACAGACAAGATGAATTTCACCCATCCTTGGGTGCTCCCCAACCCCTCAGCTGCTGTGATCCACCAGTTCCCATGGGGGCTTGCCAAAAAGTGGCTGCAGACTGATGCTGAGGGCTCTTAGCTCTCCTTCCTTTTCCCCTCCCAGGGCTTGGCTCGATCCGCAGACCTCGAGCAGCACCAGTGGATCCAGGGCTCTCCAGCACCGCTTCCCGGTACCTCCAGGAGCACCCCACACCCTGCCAGGGCCCCCACCACCTCCCAGCTCATTAGGACAGCTAGCTAACGAGCACAGTAGCACTAATGACCCTGTCACCCATGACAAGTCCTGGCCGTGGCACAGCAGGATATTTCTCCAGAAGCAAACACAGGGTATGGAGGATTTAATCTTGTCATGATGTCGGGGATTGGAGTGTTCCCCCAGCGACCTCCAGCTGATGGAAAACCCTTGGAGAGGGGGAAAGATTCCTAACCCCATCCCATCTCAACCTGTCCACTGCTTCCCCACCATTCCACCAGCATAAATCCCCTACAATAACAAACCACAGAGCAATTTTTCCCACTCTTGGCAACACTCCTTTGACCCCAGCTTGCCAAGCCAGCGACGGAGCTTGGAGCAGCTGGAAGTGGTCGATTAGGTTAGTTTGGTTTATTACCAACACATTATGCTTTAAAAAACACAACTTCCCTGCCTATTTGCCTAAGCAGGGAGAGCAGTTTCTAAGTCAGCCCTACGCAGTCGCTGCTCTTCCTACAGATTTGCTCCATGCATTATTAATCCACACAGCGCTCGTTCCGAGCACGGATATTTACCCGATGCACCAGAACAGCTCTTAAGGAGCCTTTGGCTTGTGGCTTTGTGGAACATCAACTTTTCATGTTGAACAGCAGGTGATGTTCAACAGAATGCCTTGCAATAAATGCCTAATATCTCCATTACACTCGTCCATATCTGTGTGCTGGGCTGATAGGAACATGCAGATAGCAGGGCTGCACTCCTGAGATAGGGATGGGGGGGAACAAGTTATTCACTGGAAATCATATATAAATATATATTTATACTTGGTGTTAACCAGGGACACCATCCCTCTGTGCATATCGAGATGTAGAAGCCTCCTTTTGGCAGAAATTCCTGCAAAATTTCTATGAAATTCATTTTTTTCTGCCCCTAAATCTGAATAAAAGCCCAAAATGCAACACCTTGGCTGAAAGTCTGCAGGGGGAAAAAAAAAAGTGATGTTCTGCTTTGCAAGGAAACCTCTAACTGGCTCTAAAAGGAGCGCTGTGACCTTGCTGAACAGCACTGCATAATTTTTAATAGACATTTTTTGCTGGAACTGACATATTCCCAGGCGTGGTTTTATTTCGCTAACATTTTTTCCAGAGGGAAATGCCATGTTTCATTGGATTTTTTTTTCATCATCCCTCCATATACATCCCTATAATTACTGTATGCATTACAATAGCATTGGCATGCCTTTGATAAGATCCCCGTTCCATTATGTTCGACTCCGTGTGTACACCTGGTAAAAACAGTCCCTCCCTTGAGCTCTTCAAGTCAAAATAGAGAAAGCAGAGGAAGGTGTTGAGACAAGAGCAAATTACTTCTCATTTTAGGGCTGGAAAAATAAGACTTGGGAAGGCTAAGCCACCACGTGAGGCCAGGGAGGGAATTTCCAGCTGTGTCATGAACAGAACCAAAATCTCCCAGATTTTCAGGCTTGCAGGGCTCACCTGCTTCACCTTGCAGCGTTTCCCCACCCAAAATGATTCTGCTCGTGGCTCACCAGTGCAAGGGGAGAGCTAAGGCAGCGCTTCCACCACCCTGCCAAAAACACCAGCCATGAATTATGTGCAAAATTCCCCATTTTTCTTGACAAGGGGCAGAATTTGTGAAGCTCCTGACATAGCCCACGTGTCCACACAAAGGCATTCCAGCATCCCTGTGCCCTGGTGTGCAGGGGACACACGGAGCCAGACAGACGCGTGCCCACGGGTACCCGGCTTTGCTCCTTTAATTACACCTCCTACGGGTGAGAAAGATAAACCCAAACGGAGCAGCTGCATGAAGGGAGGAAGCCTATAAGTTATTCATAAGTTCAGGCTCAAGCTCCTCTCTTGCTTTCACTCCATGACACCTTCAAAACATATTATTCATCTATTTTTTCCTCCTCTGGGAAGGGAGATGGTAATTGTAGTAAATATATCACTGCCAAGTCATCCTCGCAGCCTCCGAGGCTGCACCGCGCTGGGGTAGGGATCTGAGGCAGCAGATTTGGGATGCCTGGGATCCGTGAAGGACAGCCTCAGGCTGCTGAGCACTGGGGGAGAACCTCCATCCATCCCATCCTTTGGGATAAAAACCTCACAATGCTCGCTGAGCACCTGCAAGTTGTTCGCAAGACTTTTCCACATCCGGCCCAGCAGAGCTCACACTGGGGACACCAATTCCCCCAGGACGTTGCACCTCATTTTCATCCCATCCTGCTGGCATTTGGGTCAATTTTTGGCTGTTTCTGGCTCGCAAATAAAAAAAAAGCCACTCTCACCAGCATCCCTGCCTGCAGAGAGCCTTTGGAAACAAGAGCCACAGCTCAGAGGTTCTGTTTGCCCTCTCAAGGCTGTTCCAGACAGAATAATGCTCCTGCCAACTGAAGCAGCTCTCCTTGAGCTCGAGAGGTTCGTTTTTCTGAATGCAGCG